ATTACAGTAAGAAGAAAAAAGAGTATTCCAAATTAAGAAAAACTATTTACTGTTGTATTGTTATCTTGAAAAGGTGGAAATTGTCCGGAGAAGACATTTTGTCTGAATTTCAGCTGTTAGATAGACCCCTGAATAAACACAATGCAATTACTTTCACCATGAAAGGGATCCAAGATGACCAGGAACTATACCTGAAGACAGCACATAAAACAAGTCACTTTTCATGAAATCTTTATGAACACACACGCACACAGAGAAACGTGGTTTAAAGCATAATGTAAAACATCACACATGACATAGTCTGTAGGTTATCTCTTTGTGATAATAACACAATATCATCTGCATATAGCATTCAACTGACATACAGCTTCTCTTCTTTCTGCCACTCCTGCCTGGCGGTCAGGTGGATACTTCAGAAACGTTCCTAACTCTTTCTTGAACTTTGCTTCGATGCATTCCCATCTCATTCCCTTGAGATAGGACACATTCTGAAATTTTATATTTAAATACATGAATAAGTTATATGGAAGATATATTGTCTTAAATGATTCAAGTATTTGTTTAATCAATCACTTGAAAGGTTCATTTCACTGCTGTAACTTGCCATGTGAACATATGAACAGCATCAATACAAAATGTGACGAAAAATTTAAACAATTTATATTTTCAACTAAAGTATTGGAAGTTTTCTTAAACATTTTCAAAGAAAATCCTCAATTGCAAGTTGATTATTCAATTAGACTATGCATTAGGATGAATTAGACGATGCTTTACTGTCATATATATTATTTGCTATGGTCATGATGAAAATGCTGCATTTGGTAATTAAATTACCAGAGATGATTGAATACAACCTTGTATTCTTAAAAGAAAACTTGCCGTTTTGCCCATCAACATTCATTCTTGACATCAAATTGTTTGACATTGTCCTGCAAAACAATGGAAGATTGTTGTTATTCTGTCAGATTTAGTTTGCTTTAGAGATTCTCGGAAACGATTATATAGAGAATCTCACCCAAGTGTCTTCTGATATCAATTATATCAACACGAGTTGATAAAGTTACAAATATCCGAGGCTTGCCGAGGATATTTTTACCTTTATCAACGAGTGTTGATATATTTGATATCAGAAGACACGAGGGTGAGATTCTATTTATCATCCAAAATCACTCTTCATTAATTTTCAATGCAAAATGTACATCTCTGAACATGGTACTGCCATTAGACTTGCAGTGCAGCGATGTCATAGCATTGTGACGTCATCAAGTACATGACGTCATTGCATTGTCAGGGCATTGTACAAAATCTACTGTCAAAACGATATCTCCTAGGAGATATCGTTTGATCTCACACAAGCGATATCTCCTGTGGAACACAGTTTTGGATGATAATAAATAAAATAAGACTTGTACTGATGTAGCAATTTTGCTAACAGGAGTCATAAATTGTAACAAAATCCATTTTACATTAAATGATAAGAAAACAAAATGGGTGGTGGTTCACAGGTCAAAGAACAAGTCTATTGTGGGAGGTCTTCCAACACCATTTATTCCCAAACACAAGGAAGTATGGATTATGGAGTTCTGAAAACAATAATGAGCTCTCATAAGTATACAATATATTCCCCTATTATCTACTCTGTCTCTCTTTGACATTTGTACACTCATAAAACTCAGATAAATAACATCTTCATAATTCAGAAATGTTAACACGTAATCTCTTATAGGAATGCTTAGAAAATCTCTCATATAATGAATTATGTGTGCCTATAATATCTGCGACGTCATAACTATGCTTCTCTGAATCATGAAATAATGAGATTAAACTCTACACTGCCAGAAATAATCTATGATACCCTGAATAATAAGACACTGAATAACATCTCTTACAACTCAATCTACACTCAAAAAAGACTTAAATGTACTCGTAAACAAACATCGCTGGCACACGCAAATTCTGGGAAACAGTGTATCTCTGACTCTCAATTCCAAGAAATGGAAGTCCTACTCTATTTGACCAAAGGGGTGACAGGTGGCCAAAACATATTGAAATGTAGGTCATACACTGAAAATAACTCTGATTTAAAAACACTACAAATATACACCTTCTCTCTAATATACTCGACAGATGATCTTGACAAGGGAACATGTACATAAAATGCTGATATCTAACAATACCTGTATTCTAAATAATGCACTCTTCCAAATCTCAGTATGTTTCACTGCACACACATTTAAATGCAAAATAATGAAAACCTACACTTTGACAATAATAAAGAAACATCATATTCAAATTCTACAGCTGACCAAATACCTGAAGAGTGTGTCTCCCAGCAATGAAACATCTATATATCTCTATAAATTTATGACTTCTGTCCTCTCGCGTGCTTTCTCGCATCTAGCTAAGATACATAGCATAGATATGCAGCACCTCCATAGGCCGCAATGGTGGAAATCCTTTGTCGCACTTTCGCGCACTCGTTACGATTTTGCGCACGAAAACTTATGTGAATTACTTATTTGTGCTTATACCTACACGTGCGCCCTATTGTCGTTATCAAAATATCCAAAAATATATCTTTACAAGCCATCAAACATCTCAGTCGATCGCTCACATATGAGCGGGGCCATTTTGAATCACGTGACCTGTGACGCGAAGGGATATCCCTCCCAAAATAGTAACACACGTGTTCCATACCTCGTTGCTTGTTGACAACACATTTTCATACATTTTAGGCAATTAAAACGATTGTATGGAGATTTTCGTTTCAATCTAGACTGACTGACCACCCCTGATTTTTCAACAGCTGTTTTCAAAGGAATTGCTGGTGAGTTTTCAATGCTTCATATGAAATAAGATTATTGCTGTCACCTTCACAGTCCATGGGTGTCTCTGTACTACTCCTGAATATTTGCCTACAAAACACAGTTTACTAATTGAATTTAGGACTTAAATAAGTAATGAGTTCACGAATTAATTATCTATAAATTTCATGTATACCCAAAACCTTAAATATTTCTCAGTTTACAACTCTCCTACCTTGTATAATATTTTAAATATTTCCATGTTGTATTAGGTCTCAAGCACCAGCTACAAACCATCTTTTCATTTCCATATTAGCAACCAAGTGGCCAAAAAGTGTTATTTGTCATCATGAATTATAAACAAATACTAAAATAAGGAGATACATCAATAAATCAATTGTTGAGGGGATCATTCAAATTACAGCACAATGCCACATATCATACTTAAACTCTTGTGCGTACACGATTGGAAAGAAGGATTTTATTTGTTGAAGAAACTTCATTTGCAAACATAACAGTACCTCTTATCTTTTGACAGCAAATATAGCAGGTTTCCAAATTATCAATGAAGTGTTAGTTTAGAAAGTCTACTTTTCAAGGTGCAGTTAGATGTTTATTGAGAATATTAACAATGATAAGGATATGAAATTGTGCATGAAGTTTATTCTTTTGAAGGTATAAGTTTAAACTCATGTTAAATTAAAGTGATAATTAATAATTAACATTGATATGCACTTTATTTACTGGTATTCAAGGTTGAAAGTTGAGAGAAGAAATCATGGATGACACTGTCTGTGCCCATTGCAAGGGCAAGTTCAAGAGAAAAACAAAGGGATAGAAGAGATATAGTTACAGCTTTGTGTTTGACGACATGTCTATTTTTTGTGAAACTCACTGCTATAACTTATCAAAGCAAGAGTCATCAAAAGATGACAAATCCCCCCAGGCTCCAGAAATTTGAAAGAACAAATCATCTGACAGTTACTGATAGTCCAACTAGATTTTTTTTACTTAGTCCAAATTGTTTCCATGGAAATCATGAAAAATATAAATACTAAAACTTTGCAAATAACAAAAGGCACCACTTCAAGATCTGTCTCATATATCTGCTACGTTTTGTTGAAAGATAATGAAAGGTTTTCGATTTTTGCTCCGGAAAAGAAGCCCACCCCTACTTTTTGAGACTAAGTCCAAATCGTTTCCATGGAACCGAGAAAAATAAAATGTACAAAATCTGCAAATAGCCAAGGCACCACTTAAGGTTCTGATTGATATATAAAACCAATTTGTGGTGAAAAATATTGAACGGTTTTACAGTTCTGCTCCTGAAAAGAACAATACCACCAATTTCAGTCAAAGTCGAAATTGTTGCCATGGAAACACACACAAAAATATTTTATACAGAAATCCCAAACTACCAAAGGCACCAGTAGACCACCATCTCTATCTATGTGCCAAGTTTGGTGAAGAAATAGTGAACGGTTTCGAAGTTCTGCTCCGGAAAAGACGAATGTGCACGGACGGGCGGAGCTCATTTTAATAATTTGACATTTGGCTTTGTGCTGCAATTTGAATGATCCTTCCCCTTTTAACAATTGCTTTCTAGATGTATCCCCTTGTTTTAGTATTTGTTCATAATTCATGATGAAAAACACTGTCCATTGATGTAATCAACATCTAATCTCCTATCCAAGGAGGAAATAAATATGATGACGAAGGTAGGATAAATGTGAAATGAGAAATATTTTTAAGGTTATATGGTACAAATGAAATTTATAGATAACTGATTTGTGAGCTCGTTAATTATTTAATTCCTAAATTCTAATAAGTCTTATTAGTAAACTGTGTTTTGAAGGCAAATATTCAGGAGTAGTACAGAGACACTCATGGAACTGTGAAGGTGACAGCAATAATCTTATATTATATGAAGCATTGAAAACTCACCAGCAATTCCTTCGAAAACAGCTATTGAAAAATCAGTGGTGGTCAGTCAGTCTAGATTGGAAACGAAAATCTCCATACAATCGTTTTAATTGCCTAAAATGTATGAAAATGTGTTGTCAACAAGCAACGAGGTATGGAACACGTGTGTTACTATTTTGGGAGGGATATCCCCTTCGCGTCACAGGTCACGTGATTCAAAATGGCCCCGCTCATATGTGAGCGATCGACTGAGATGTTTGATGGCTTGTAAAGATATATTTTTGGATATTTTGATAACGAAAATAGGGCGCACGTGTAGGTATAAGCACAAATAAGTAATTCATATGAGTTTTCGTGCGCAAAATCGTAACGAGTGCGCGAAAGTGCGACAAAGGATTTCCACCATTGCGGCCTATGGAGGTGCTGCATAGCGTTCATGTCAGTGAACGCTATGTATCTTAGCTATCTCGCATCCAGCTCTTTACGGCGAAAAACAATATGGCGCCAAGCAAGGGAGTGCTCATTAAACTAAACATCTCCGGGAGAAATCATTGTCAAATTATTCTCCAACATGATCAACCTTTGTGGTGGATATACTGGAAACAAGTGAAATGTTAAAAACTTGTTACCTTAGCATTGCTCCTTTTATGTGATCCACAAAATTGATGCCACCCAGTTTTCGAAGATGAGATTTCTGCAGATTCCATTAAAATTATATCTTATTTCATAATTAAATGTTCCTTCTAAATTACTTCTTTTTTGTATGTAACATTTAAACCTTTAAGAGACATGAATCATCACATCCCTTCCAAACAAGTGTAAGAATGAAAGTCTGTGACTGCAGTTTTGTTAAGTGTCCCATCAAAGAATCATTAGTGAAGTTACACATTTTGTAAATAAATAAAAGTTCAAATAAATTATATGCAATTTCATCCTTAACAAAGACTTGCACAAGACATTTTGATGTGAATTTTCGTTGCATGATCTGAGAAAGATTTCCGTTCGCCATTCTCCACCCCCACCCCCAAATAGTGTGCATGCTGACAGGGTTCAGAGCGTGCTCAATGCATAATTTACTGATAGACTTCATCAAACGAACAAATGTTCATAATAATGTGATGCAATATAAAATGTTGATAAATTCTATTTTCGAATTTGTATAGCTGCCCTTGGGAACCGTTCATAATGTATGGCTTGGGGGTGATGATGATTTTTATGAAGAAGCATGTACAATGTGAATTACCCTCCCCCCCCTCCCCCGTAAAGTGTATGTACGAAATAAGTGACGCCCCACCCTGCATGTCATGTACAATATCTATGACGCCCTCTCCCCTTCCCATAATTTCTAAGCATCATATTAAACATAGTGCGTGTGTACAAAAATGCTGACCCCCTTAGCTCCCCTGAACAAAATGGGTGAACCCCCCCTCACAATCATCACCCCCACCCGCAGCCATATAATTATGAATGGTCCCTTATATTGATGTACTTCATTGATTATTTGAAAATGTATATTTGCAAAATTCAAATCAGGTGATGGGTACGAAAGGAAATCTTATTCGATTATATAATAAAATGCCAAATATATGCATGCAAATATATTGAAAAATAACAAAAAAGTTCATGGAAAACACGGGCTTCCACTAAATTTTGAGAAACATGTACGTGACATACCGGTACCCTTGTGAGATAAAACATGAGCCCTAATTCGGAGTTTCTTGCTACATTGACCTGCTAGATTTAAACAACATTCCTACGTTTTCATTATACATGAAGGACATACTTACCAAATAAACACCAGCATGCCGTGAAGATGTTGAAAATAGAACGATATTGCGTTGAACTTCGCCAAAATAAACTGACAACGATCAGCTGCCTTTGCGCGCGCGATAATTGTGCGCATGTCCGGATATGGCCAAACGAGGCGATCTGGCATGTGTTTGAAAGCAAATTGTCGGGAATTATACAATTTTGACAGTTTTGTGGGAAAATATCAAATGTAATGCAGTTCGGATAACTGATGACTTTATACCTAAAATCATTGATGTTTTCATTTTCAATTGCGATTTACGTAATATTTCCGTCCGTTGATCGATGCACAATCAAACAATATATAAGATTATATGTGTCACTAACTCGATCTTGATCTTTTATGAAATTAATGTTCCGAAATGATAGTTGCTAAGTTGGATACCTATTACCAATATGAATTATGTATCAAATTTGCCAAGGAAACAATTAGTTGACATTTTGTTGGTTCCTTACGGAGGTATTTTCCGTTGTTGTGTCATGTTACCGAGCGAAAAGCCACTGATATCGGGAAATAGGCGACCATACATATTATTTAAGAAATCTTTTTATAATAATTTTCTGATTACGTAAAAATGAAAATATAAACGAAAAGGTCACAGGCATGTTATGACATGTCACAAATGGAAAAAAAATCGCCATAGTTTTTGCTTCTTTCGTGGTTTATCTGGACATTATAAATGTAAACTTGCATTTTCATCATTAACAGTATTTTTCAAAACCACCACACAAAACTGCCACAGAATACAAATAAGTTTACTTTACGTGAAACAAGTCGTGTCACGTGGCCCAACTTTATCGCTCGATAACAAAGTACCGGTAAGTACATAGCTGTGATCAAAATATCTGATTAAATTTAATTTATTGTTTATACTATGAAATATATTTTACAAAAGACAAACAACAAAGTTTTATATTTTATGTTTTATTTGTCCCACGATGTCATTTACCTTTGGAAACGTTGTCAGTACGTATATGCTTCCTGCTTCCGGTGTAAACATTGCCAGTTGAGTTCGCAGGGCTGGCAGATTCACACACCTGACCTCGGGAATTTTTTGGGTAGATTAATGAACTCAAGTATAAGTCGGGTCTGATTTTTTACCTTCATTTTCTGGTATCAAATTTCCGACTTATAGTCGGTCATATACGGTAAACGAATCTCGACTAACTTTCTTTGGTCGCATGATAAACGTTGAATCAACGTTTATGAAAGGTTGATCAACCAAACAACCAAAATTCAACGTTGATTCAACGTTGTGTGCCCGCTGGGTTAGACCTTTGGGTCGAGGTAAAAATCCTTGGATGTTTGATGTTGTGACTACGGTGTTGTTTTCAGGGATTAAGACACTGGATTTCTAAAAATGTAAAACTCAGCTCACTCAGGAAACGAAATAAGACACGTGTGCCTGAATGTAAGTGAATTTGCCAGTTATGGCAAAAGCACAATTAGAATTCAAGTTTTTCCTACTTTTCGAGGTGCAAGATACCTTTGTGTAAATGGTTATATGTTCATAGTGAAAAGGAGGGACAGGGGAGAATGGATCTCGTGAAAATGCATACAGAAAGACTGCAGATCAACAGTCTCAACTGTCTTAACGACATATTTTCTAAAATACCGAGAGACCACCACCACGGACCTGTACACAACGAAGTCAAGGTAAATCTTTTCGACTGTAGCAAAAATAATGATAATTTTTGAAAAGGATAAAATTGTAAAAGCAAAATCAATCTTGAATATATTGTGTATTCCTCATAGCCTAATATAAAGGTTACATATTAATACTATGGATATTTTAATGTATAGTTGAAACCTATTTTTTCAAGTAATCATGACGGGATTTGCAAACAAGCATAAACATGCATATCAATGCCGCTCCATAACAATAGTACAATTACATAGATAGTGATGTACACTGTGTGCAAAACATAATGTGTGCAAATCATAATGGAAAACATACAATACTTTCTGTATGCATTTTACTCTCTGGTGTCCTCCCATCAGTTACACGTCCCACTTGTCAGACACGTTAAAACAATAAACATTTTGGTTGGTTACACTCAGGTACATTACACTTTTACCTGTATTAAGTAATGGACTGATCCAAAGTTATGGATAATGACTTATATACAGCACATATACAGCATTAATTAAGATAATTTAACAAGGATGTTTAGCAGTAGAAACATGATATTATTCAGCACACTAAGCCATATACGTATAAGAATATATTAAGCTTTATAGTTAATAGTGCTGTAATGATGCATCAAACTATCGATGGATTGCAATTGTTGAGTCTCCGATAGCAATTAATCGATGGTGGAGACGAAAAACTATCGATGCATCGATAGTATGTGTGACTATCGATAGTTTAGTAATGGTTATCTATTCTTATTAAATATTTGTGTTGTTTTGATTTTTTAATTGTTTAGGTGCAGTCTTGCAGCTTCATTGAGTTTATGTTGTAACTGTTTACTCGATCTTGGTTTCAAGTGTCTTGTCAGTTACTCATAGGGGAGCAGAGGAAGCCCAGCAGCCCGTCGTATCCACCTCTGTTTCTCTGGGAGTAACTAAATTAGTTACATGGGAAATCTATAATCCTGTTTTGATCAAAGTGAACATTATGAACACAAACTGTGAGAAGCCGATGAGTAAGGCAGTTAACATTAGCATTCTGATCAAAGTATTTCTGCACAAAAGGTAACAAACACATAATTAGTGTTAAAATATACCACTAACCACTCATGTTAAAACATCTCGCTTGTCTACGGAATAGGTCTACATGTATTAGATTTACTCCCAGTAGTTAATCCGACCACAGGTAACGAATATCGGGTGATAATTAACACCCTAAATTAGCAAGTTCATGCCTGGCTGGTTATTGCCAGTTTCTGAGCGTGATGAGCCATGAACAGTGTTCACCACATACAAAACAGTTTTAATCAATGATAAGTGTTCACAATTTGCAGCTTCTGTTATCAATTTCATAAAGCAAGAACAGTCCTATTGCGAAGTAACATTGAAACAGCTTGCTGCTGGTGCCTGTATCAAACCCAGAAAGAAGAAATACCGACAGCTTGAAGAGAGGCTTGAGGCGTCATCCAGTATGGGGATGCTGTCTCCCACTTAGTGGGATTGTAAATATTTGTATTGTGTTTGTATTTGATTATAAGTAATATATGTATCATATATTTATCTGTGACTCAACTTATAACACTACTCATAATAAATAAAATGTTAAAGAACGATTACATGACTATAAGTTATAATTTGTTTATTTTTGAATAACTGTATCTTTATTTATATAATCAATCATACTATTTATAAAATTAATCATATCTTTTGTAAATTTTGTAAAATGAAATGAATTGGTAAAGTGTTGAACTGACTTGAGTTTTAATCCCCAACTTATCCCTTACTAATACCCTTTGTTGCACCATTAACTATAATTTATTGCTCGACAATGAAACTGGAAAAG